GTTTGTGTAGAGAGAAGAAACATCCATAATACAGAGAATAGTATTTGGAGGAAGTTTTCCCGTTAGTGTTAATGTCAGAAATCATGTTCAGAAAATGTGTCGTGTTTGTAATGTACGATGTCAAATGTAGGGGGATATCTTTGATGAGGTGATCCACGTAAGCAGATACGTTTTCAGTAGGCATACCGCAATTAGAAATAATAAGACGACAAGGATTGTTGGGTTTGTGTATTTTTGGTAACATGTAAAAGCGATCTGGAACTGGGTGTTTAGGTTAAACGGACTGTAATGTTTGATGACTGATGTGTTGACTTTTCTGTAAACTTCATAGCATATCTTCGGTAATTTTAACAAATTGCGGTGTGGGGTCCAAATCTACCTATTTATATTGGTTTGTGTTATTAAGCTTCGTTGTTGTAGTCGGACTTATCTTGAATGACAATGGCTTTTTTTTTCTTTTTTTTCGTCATTAACTAATCAACCCGTGAATAAACTTAATAACTTACATTCAAATTATTAAGAACAAATTTCAACTCAATTTTGTAGAATGATCACTTGTAACGTTTTCAAATAAATACACTTGCTCTTTAATTATTTCATTTTCCCTAAAGACAAACAAACATAACTTGAAATAATTAGAATCGAGTCCCTATAGCTAAACTTGAAAAGTATCATTTCGTTGGAATTTTTAATCTGAAGGGCACCTTATGTGCAGATGGACTAAACGGACAGGTCAGAGGTCTCTTACGACTCAGGTATAGCTTTAAACTAGTCACTAGGTAAAAGGCATCCCATCAAAGCACCCACCGCCATAATGATTGTCTTGTCTAGCTTTGAACCGAATGGCGGAATTGAGTGTTTGCTACAGCTGAGCCTCCCTGTAGGATAGCGGTAAGTCTACGGACTTACAACCCTAAAATCCGGGATCGATTCCCCTCGTTGGACACAGCAAATAGCCCACCATGGCTTTGCTCTGAAAACAACAACAACTTACAGCTGAAAATGCAGAGCATGCACAGCTACATCATGGCTCTAACTTTGGACTTTGCTATGCGCAGTCGGGCTGGTATTAGTCTATCAAATATTTAAATAACTCTCTCCACATATAGTTGCTTTACTAATTTTTAATGATAAATTATTTTAAATGCTTAATCGAACTCACAAACAGAAAACACTTTGTTCGTCTATGACAGGATCCTTAATAACATGAGTCCAACAACAACAACAAAAAAGTCAGAAAGACCATCAAATGGAGTTCGTTTGTTTGTTCTGAATTTTGCACAAAGCTACTCGAGGGATATCTGTGCTAGCCCATCCTAATTTTGAAGTGATACACTTGGGAGAAGGCAGTTATCCAACACCATCCACCGCCAGCTCTTGGGCTACTCTTCACCAACAAATAGTGGGATAATTGAACATCATAACGCCCACACGGCTGAAAGGGCGAACATGTTCGGGTACGGGATTTTAACTCACGACCCTCGACTCCCGAGTTAGTGCCCTAATCATCAGGTCTTGCCATGCCTATTAATACTGGATTTACCCCATTAATCGTGGTAAGGATTTCCGATATACACTACTTAGAAAATAAGTGATTTTCTCCAATTTATTTTGATCACTTCTTTACACTGACTATTGTGACAGGCCAAAACTCAACATTATGCAATACGTTAGCCCCACTGATAATGAACAGCATAAACATAAGTAGGGAAATCGAGGCTTAATTTGCAAGCATTAGGTTTAATGTAAATAAAATATATCTAGAAATGTTTAACACGTTGAATGTTTTCTTTTTTATATCAGAGTATACCTGTCAAGTTTAGATAGATCATTTCGAGTTTATTTCTATTGTTAAAAAGGCTAAAACTGTATCCACTACTCGACTTTAGACTTCTGTTGGAAATCTAATATAGATTACTGTGTAAGCGATCTGTAAACAATTTTCTCTCTCTCAGCAAGGCCGTGTTCCACGCAAACTTTGTTTATATACGCCTGTTAGCAATTTTCTACAATAAAAATCAAAATATCCACTTAACACAACATTACACAAACGTCTGTGTTTATTTTAACGTAAAAAAAAACAGTCTTTAACATTGAAATGTAACGCAACTTTTCGTCATTTTATTTCCTAAATCTTATTCGTTTGAAATCCCTTCCAGCAGTTAGTTCTTGAAACGTTTAATCATACATAATTGTATGTAAGTCAAGTGTATTCTAATATATCACAAACGATTTGGAAGTGGGCTTAGGGGAAAAAAGGGGGATTTTGAGGGTTTATAAAACAACATTAACGAGAGACAATTTAATTTTAATGCTATTATATTTGATAGATGTTTCAGAATAGTCTATTTATTTATTTAGAGAGAAAAAAAAACAATAACAAATTCTATGTTGTATTCATTCATGTCCACTGTGCTAAGCATAAAAGAGTGCAGTCACCGAATGTTAACTCCCGGTCACGTGACCTGACGATATAACGTGTACCGAGGGCGGTGTGTAATTCGTCTAAGCCCCCCCAGCACTGTCAGGGTTAGATATGTCAACAACGGAGGCAGCAATAGCAGCTCGTTTTGTTCGACTTTGTCGGGCTACGAAAGGTGAGGCAGGCCACGACATACTCTGGGCGTGACGGCGCGTAAGCTCAAGCGGGTCGTGTCGCGTGGGTGCGTGCCCCGTGACAGCACGCAAAGTCCCAATATTGAAGTCTCATGTAATCTTTAGAAACGCTGATGTAGGAAGACAGACTACGCTTCTGAGTCGTGTGATTGTTGGATGGGGTAAATATTTACCTAACCATTTTATTTCCATTGTGACCTCTTGATGGACTCCGTACCGAGTACAACTAGATCGGTGTAAACGTAGCATATTATACCTAAACTTGTTTCAAACTACCAGGATATTTTGTTCATGTCATACGAGCTGACAGTTAGTAGAACTTCTCAGTAATTACACCGGATGAATGGAGTAGCAATTTCATCGAACAAAATGCTGAATATTTTGTTGAGGTTAAACGATTCCGAGTATAATTGATGTGTTTGTTTTACACAACGAATAGATTGGGTTAATCACCAGAACTAGACAAACAGTGATATCAGAGTTGTACATGGACTGCTGTCATACCCACTTGAAAATATAACCTTTGTTACAATAGAGAACGTATTACATATGCTATTGTTTAAATTAGACAGATTACCCGATGAACAACCCTTTAAATAATGATAATAGCGAAAAATAAAACTTTTACGAAAGATCAGTTCGATTTACTTTTTGAGAATACATTTTTTTGTGTCATTTCTCTTTGAGTTGTTTTGGAAGGGTAACAAAACTCACAAGTCAAGATCTAAGAAAATCTATAGAAACCAACTAGAAGACAAGTCGTATTAACAAAAACTCACAAGTCAAGGTCTAAGAAAATCCTATACGAAACCAACTAGAAGACAAGTCGTATTAACAAAAACTCACAAGTCAAGGTCTAAGAAAATCCTATAGAAACCAACTAGAAGACAAGTGTATTAACAAAACTCACAAGTCAAGGTCTAAGAAAATCTATAGAAACCAACTAGAAGACAAGTGTATTAACAAAACTCACAAGTCAAGGTCTAAGAAAATCTATAGAAACCAACTAGAAGACAAGTGTATTAACCAAATGAAATGTTTTTCTTGAACGAAAAATTAATTTAGTTTAAGACATCCTTTTAAGTGTGTTAGTAAGATATTATGTTAAGAGATTCAATAAGATGGTGTCATAAGAGTTTCAGTAATATAGTTCGTTAAGATCTTCAATAAGATGGTCAGTTAAGAGCTTCAGTAAGATAGTCTGTAAAGAGCTGCAGTCAGATAGTCTGTAAAGAGCTGCAGTCAGATAGTCTGCTAAGAGCTTCAGTAAGATTGTGTATTAAAAGATTCAATAAGGTAGTTTGTTAAGAACTTCAGTAAGATAGTCCGTTAATAGTTTCAGTAAGATATTCTGTTAAAAGCTTCAGTAAAATAGGTTGTTAAGAGCCTCAGTAATATAGTCAGTTAAGAACTTCAGTAAAATAGTTTGTTAAGAGCGTCAGTAAGATAGTCAGTTAAGAGCTTCAGTGAAATAGTCTGTTAAGAGCTTAAAGCTTCAATAATATAGTCAGTTAAGAGCTTCAGTAAAAGTCTGTTAAGAGCTCCAGTAAGATAGTCTGTTAAGAATTTCAATAAGATAGTTCGAGAACTAGATAAACGTGGGGATAAAGTTATATACAGACTTGTGTGAAGTATAACGCTATAAATAGCGATATAAATCCCAAAGTTTTTTCTTTCTAACAACACAAAATGATGTATAGTTTTTAATTCATAATTGTGTTTACTTAAACTTACTCTTGTATTATGAAGTCTCATTTTTACTATGTGTATGTAGAGTATATAAAATTGAACACAAGGGTTGTGCAACAAACACCACATTTGTTTTCTGTTTTGTTAGCCCACAATAATAGTGTTATTTTAAACTTGAATTTGTGTCGTAGTCATTCAAACACAAGACTTTCGTCCTACAGAACACAAATTATATTGTTTTTAACACAATTTTTTTGAAAGTGTAGATTCTATAAGTACAATGCTTAAATCAAGCTTTATTATTTTGAAGTATAGTGACGAGAAAGATTAAATTTATACAAATAAAAATGTTTTAATAAGTTAGGTATTTTTGTTTGTATTATGTTAGTTAAAGATTTTAAAATAATTCTGAAAAACACTGATAAGCGCAACAAGCTCAGAATAAATAATAAAGTGATAAAAATTTTTTTTTCTGTATTTGAAATGAAAAATAAGTGAAAAACTGCTTATTTAATATGAAGTACTTTACGATGTACAATTTGGTTCTAAAATTTTTTATTTGTTTGTTTGTAATTAAGCACAAAGCTACACAATGGGCTATCTGTGCTCTGCCCACCACGGGTATCGAAACCCGGATTCTAGTGTTGTAAATCTGCAGACATTCCGCTGTGCCACCGGGGGGTGTTCTAAAAATATTTAACAATGAATAAAGAAACCTATAATTTCATTTTTCATACAAGATTCTAATAAGACATATTTATGTTACTAATACTTTTTTGTTTTCAGCATAAAGTATTACACAATGTGAATTCAGCTTCTTGTTTATTTAGTGTGTGTAATTTTTAAAAATAACAGCGTTTTCGTATAGTTAAGCACTTATTCATTAATAACAAACATAGTAGTTGATACTTTACAAGGACGCCCTCTATTAACGACGCGATAGAACTAAGAAAATTGATGAGATGAAAAGAATACCTATGCACATGGATGTATGAATTTATGTATCTTTATACACAGAAATGTGTCTGTGTAATGCCTACATAAATATGTAGTAAATAAACTAGTAAACGTTTTATGAGTAATTGAATATAAACGGATTAAAAAAGTGTAAAAATTTGTCCCTAGTTTATTCAGTAAATTCACTGGTTGAAATATAAAATAATAATATGATGTGCTTAAAAACTGTGCACAGTAGAAACTTGACGTCATGTGTTACAATAGCGGCGATATTTATTATTATTTTTTCGAGGTTGAAATAGCTGTATGAAAGAGAAAATGCTGTTATCGTTTTGTGCAAATGAAGTTAATTGATCTTCATTGAGGTTCTTACAACATTATTTTAATGATGATAAACTGGAAGATTTTATGTTCTATGAAATAAGAAACGTTAAAGAATTTCGCGTGGAAAAGATAAAAAAAAATATACGTTCATTGCTTCAATGTTAAGTTTGTTTGTATCCGTTATCACATAACATCATTTCATTGTAGTGTTTAGCTGTAGATTTTCTGATAACGACCAGATTCTGTGAGTGCGTTTCTGCGTATGCGTTACTAAGTGTACTTGCACTGCTCGAAGGTAAAAAAGTCTGGAGACAGTCGCGGGCCGTCTGTGTCTGAGAATAAATGTGTGCAAGGAACGCCTTGTGATGCGTGTAGTTAATTCACTGAAATAAGGCATAAAGACAGCGCATTCATTTACTGTCATGTGTCACTCACTAATGATTAAAAAATACAATGTTTGTTTGTGTTAGCTACCATATAACATCTCTTATTACCGTGTGTCTCATTCACTACTGGCTGAAACACGATGCAATAATGGTAGTTTTGTTTGTGTTAGTTACCATATAACATTTCTTATTATAGTGTGTAACACTCACTATTAGCTAAAACACGATGTAATAATGGTAGCTTTGTTTGTGTTAGTTACCATTTAACATTTTTTGCTACTGCGTGTTATTATTGGCTAAAACACGATATGATAATGGTAGGTTTATTTGTGTTAGTTGCTAAATAACATCTCTTGCTACTGTGTGTTATTATTGGCTAAAACACGATATGATAATGGTAGGTTTATTTGTGTTAGTTGCTAAATAACATCTCTTGCTACTGTGTGTTATTATTGGCTAAAACACGATGTAATAATGGTAGGTTTGCTTGTGTTAGTTACCATGTAACATTATTTACAACCGCGAGTCACTACTGACTAAAAACACAATATAATAATGCTGTGTTATTTACAAACAAAACTCCATTAGACGAGCGCACGAAGACGGCCGTACTTTTGAGTGGAGAGGGATATTGACCAGAAGAAACTCAATCTGTATAAGGTTGAGTATCAGAAAAGAAAACCAGTAACCTGAAAGTGGACTTTCCTTCATCAAGGGTAAATGGCCATTGACCATAGTAAGTATGTTGATTAGTTATGTGGTCGTTGTAGCGGAAGTGACACGTTTCGCCTTTTTCAAGGATATGACCTAAATCGTGAAATAGCATCGCAAATGTATGTGTATGTGTGTGATGTGCAAGTGATGGGAAACAAAAAGAAAGAATAGTTTTGATATAAAAAGAACTTACAAAAATATGTGTTTGTGTAAGAAGTAACGTACAGAACTATTGAGAGAATACCCAACAAAAGTACTTAAGGATACAGGAACTGGAGGAGTGAAATATTAATTAAAAATGCAAGAAATGAAATACACACACACACACACACGTATATATATATATATATGAGAACATAAGATTACTGGATATTAAATAAAAACTTATAATCCAGAGATAAATATAATTTATCTTAATTAATAGTAGTTAAAATGTTGATAATGCAATAACAGAGTAATTCGTTTCAAAATATATTTTTTTAAAAGATTTGCCAGAAATACGTATAGTTAATATACGAATATCATTAATACCGGGGCCAAGATTCGTACCATATGGAATGACATTGTTTAAAATACTGAACCAGTAGGCGTCTTTTATTCCTCTGTCGACTTTGGATACTAATGAGAACCATATCATTGACAGAGTGGTTGAGTTGGTTAAACTGTAGAGTAATAGGAAAGTCTTCTTGAGTCTTGACAGAAGATTTTTGGCTATTGTATTCTGTAAGGATGGATTTGGGTTTGTCCAATATACTGATGGTTGTATTTTTGGCTATTCTATTCTGTGAGGATGGATTTGGGTTTGTCCAATATACTGATGGTTGTATTTTTGGCTATTCTATTCTGTGAGGATGGATTTGGGTTTGTCCAATATACTGATGGTTGTATTTTTGGCTATTCTTTTATGTAAGGGTGGATTTGGGTTTATCCAATATACTGATGGTTGTATTTTTAGCTATTCTATTCTGTAAGGGTGGATTTGGGTTTATCCAATATACTGATGATTGTATTTTTTGCAGTGTATAAGATATATCGTGGTTTGAGTTTGACAAGAGATTGGTTTGGTTATGATCTAATGTTTTTTTTATGTTGGTCAAAGAAAGTATTGATGATATTTGTAAACTCACAAGTCTGACATCGAACTTTATTACAAGGGGAACAGAAATTCTGTGGCGCGTTTTTCTTCTGGAAGTAAACAACAGTAAGTAATAATAAGTTCAATGCATTCCAAAACTGGCTATTGCATTTATACATCCAACACATACCTTAAACGTGCGTAAGCTTGAAACATATGAAAAATGTTGGAATACGTTCATCTTTCTAAACTAAAAGGAAAAGAAAGAGCGGGTATGTTTTGCATACCAAAGTTTTAGATTTATCTATGTTATATTACTGTATAAATAGCTAACTACCGTTCGTAGTACTGACTCGTAATACAATATAAGTGTGTTAAATTTGATTGTTTTCCTTATCATATTACACCATTCACCAACTTTGGCTGAAAAACAACGTAACTAGTTCACAAAACATATCGATGTTACATTGTGTTAATTATCAGTTATGATAAACATTGTCGTGTTACACGGTAACAAACACAAATGAATCTAACGTTATAACGTTAGATTAATTTGTGTTTGTTACGGTATAACGTTATTTAGAACCTGTGTCATCACAATGTAATAATGTTAGGTTTGCTCGTGCTAGTCAGTACTGACTGACAACGCTATGTAATAACAATAGATATGTTTGTGTTAGTTGCTACATGGTATTACCTTATTACAGTGTATCACTACTAACTGAAACCACAACGTAAGAATGTTGGGTTTATTTGAATTAGTTATAGCATAACATTACCTAATTCCGTGTGTCAGTACTGACCGAAAATAAACCCGATCAAGGGAGACCAGATACAATATCTGTCAGTTCGTTTTAAACAAGCAGAACTAAAAATTTTGGAATAACTCTTTAGAAATGGTCGAAAACAGAGGAAGTTTCATCACGAACTTCGCAGCTATACAACTAGCAGTAAATGACTATTTTACAGGAAGGAATATTCGCTGGTGTGGTAAACAAATTATAAGTATCTAATTGCAGTTTTCTGCTCACCCCGAACTCTGTCAATATTTCCCACCCACCCCAAAACAAATTTGATAAATAAACTCATATATATATTACAAAATCTAAATTTTTATTCCGACTAATAATAAACACATAGCAGCTAAATAGCTAACAACAAAACAATCACATGCTAGGATTGTGATTTCGTTTCGAATAAGCTGGACTTCCTGATTTTTTTGTAAGGCAATCTTCAACCATCGGCCTGAGATCGAATTGAGCAGCTTCTTGTCCATTTAAAGCAAACATTTTGGGTCTGACTAGAGTCTGATCAGTGACCTCGTATATGTGTACCTTAGACGACGTTTCTCGTTTCCTAGCAACACTATCATTACCGTCTACAAGTTCATATTCTTATTAGTCTAGAAAATAGAACGGATAAGTTTAAACTAAATTAAACATTTCTGAGTTTCTATTCTATATTATTGATTTACTTTTATTTTCGTCACACTAAAGTCGTTTTCTTTAATAAATCGCTACTTTTAGGTAATTAACCGTATTTGATAATTGTTTTCCAGGTAGGTAATATGAGTCTAAAACGAATTTCTGGAACTTCAAAAGTCCATGTGTACGGAGAATGACGGTATATATAATTCCCTTTGTTATGTTAGTCGAACAGTACCAATGAAGTTAAAGTACCTATCTAACTCAAATATATCAGAACGTTGATTCAAGCATGCAAAATGAAGTATTTAGCGCACACCTAGGACTAGAAATTTCAGAATAATATGTCGGTGCTACTCTGTGCTCGTACTTTGTCTTAGAGTTTAACTGTCGTCCTAGGCAAATCCTGATTCTGTAAAAAAGAAAAAGATAAACGGCTATTATGTATATCAATTAAATAGTAACTATGCAGTGTCAAAGTAAAATTGTATGTAATATGTGTGCACATGATCAGAAATTCACATAAAAACGAAATAATATGTGCCTATCGTTTCTACCTTGGATGACAGACGTTGACCTATTATACTCATATTTTCGTAATTCAATATCGTTGCTGTTACGCCGTTTCTTGTATATGTAGTTAAGTATCCTAATATTTGTTGTCAAATTCGGAAAACAAGCATGTAATGAATACACACATCATAGGGTACAGCTGTATATATATGGAAATATTGAATCTAATTGCCAGCCACTTTGAGCTCAGCCTTCCGTCCATCGTTTCCTAGCATGTAACTAACGGTGTTGTCAGAAAAAACAACAACCAATAAAAACACCGACAGGAACAAACATTGTCTAATGTCATCTATTAAATAAATATAAAACAAAATAACGTACTAGGTTATTTACTTTATGTCCTTTAAACGAATACATGTTTTAATTGAAAATCACTAGCACACCGAGCGGATGTGTACACAGTGTTCTGCGTGCATATAATCACAGTCGATTTAGCGATAACATGGGCTAGTTCTGAGTTCGAATCATTAATTAATTTAGTCTGTAAGATTTAATTCTAAAACTAAGAACAATTAAAAAATACAATAAGTGAACCCTTTTTATGTTAGCTGGAAGCAATGAGCATATATTTAAAGTAGGATTTCATCCATTCCTACTAAGGCGCGTTGAAACATTTTTGTTCAAAGTTGTTATTGTTATCTATTCATAACAAAGAACTCTGACCAGTTGTAAACATTCCAACTAGTATCTCTGACCAGATGTAAACGTTCTAACTAGTATCCTTAACCAGCTGTAAACGTTCTAATTGGTATCTCTGACCAGTTGTAAAAGTTCCAACTAGTATCCCTGACCAGATGTAAACGTTCCAACTAGTATCTCTGGCTAGCTGTAAAAGTTCCAACTAATATCTCTGACCAGGTGTAAAAGTTCTAACTAGTATCCTTGATCAGATATAAACGTTCTGACCAGTATCCTTGACCAGCTGTAAAAGACCCACTAATATCCTTGAACATATGTAAACGTTCTAACTAGTATCCTTGACCAGCATGTAAACGTTCCAACTAGTATCTCTGGCTAGCTGTAAAAGTTCCAACTAATATCATTGACCAGACGTAAACGTTCTAACTAGTATCTCTAACCAGTTGTAAACGCTCCAATCAGTATCTCTGGTTCTGCATCCTTAAACTGTTATTTAAATTCCAAATAACTTTAAGCTATTTAATAATATTTCTTACGCGTTGTAAATTTTATTCATGGTATCCTGATAAGTTTCAAACATTCTACCTGTAACATCCCTGATCAACTTTAAACTTTCTACCTTCAATATCCCCTATAGCCTCAAATGCTACATCTAGATTTACTGATAAGTTTTAAAATTTCTTCTTTCAATATCCATTAGTTTTCGTGACTTTTTAAATTTTCTACCTTTAGCATCCTTTAGTTTTCGTGACCTATTTACATTTTCTAATTGCGGTATCCTTTAGTTTTCGTGACTTTTTAAATTTTCTACCTTCAGTATCCTTTAGTTTTCGTGACTTATTTAAATTTTCTACCTTCAGCATCCTTTAGTTTTCGTGACCTATTTACATTTTCTAATTGCGGTATCCTTTAGTTTTCGTGACTTTTTAAATTTTCTACCTTCAGTATCCTTTAGTTTTCGTGACCTATTTAAGATTTCTACCTTTAATTTCCTGTAGTTTTTGTGAGAATTTAGATTTTCTACCTAAGATGTTCTAATCAGTATTTCTATTTCCTGTAGTTTTTGTGACCTATTTAGATTTTCTTCCTAAGATGTTCTAATCAGTATTTCTATAGTGTTACAAATGATATGCAAACACTTTCTTTAGATTTCACTTATTGCAACAGTCGCATGCCTTGAAGTTAGATAAAAATATGAAAGAAGATTGAGAAAAACTAAGTATAAATTTACATTGTATTATGCATTTCACTATAAATGTTTATGCAATGCTGAGTATCTGTCACTCATTTGATATTTTCTTATGCGACATATTGGATAAACGTTAGGTCAGAGACCCATAAAATTCAGGTATAGCAGTTCTTATTTTGAACTACTGACCACAGGGAAAAGGAGCCAATCAGCAGCCCTATCACCTCTGGGACGTTTTTCAGTTTTGTAAAGGACAACGGGGTTGACTAAAAGTGTGGATCGTGTTCAACGACATTAAGACGCATATTCTGGGTCTTCCGATATGCAACCTGGTATGCTAACCATTAGGCCACACCCAGCTCTCTGTTATATACTTACACTTGGGTCTCACAGTCTAAATTCCGAATTGTTTTAAATGTATTCAAATGTCTTTGGTCATAGTGGTTAACATTGATATTTTCTGAGAAGTCAGTCTCACTCTATATAAGCGCATGTATATTATTAATAAAGTTTTACCCTTATTATGTAATAATTGGATTTATGTTTTATGCGGATCAAAGGATTTTATCACTATTGGATACAACTGAAATCAGCACATAAAATGTTATTAGTAGAACAGTGCCATTTATCAATACTTTAAAGAGATTTTACTGTTTTTTTTCTTAGTAAATATTTGTGACTTAAGGAGGTACGACGATAAAAAATTCGATATCTTTTTAACTGTTTGTAGTGAAGCACGAAGCTATCCAATGGACCATCTGTGCACTGTCCAACACGTTATAAGCCCTCAGACTAACGGCCGAGCCACTGTGAGGAGAGGGGGCGGGGGCTTAACTGTTTGCAGTATTTTTCTTTGATTATCTTATTATTATTATTATGTTTAAGATTGACAACAGAGGTCAAAGTACTGCAGAGCTAGCTCAGATTAAAACCCAAAAACTTGAGCGCTTTTGAAGGTAGTCATTCTAGCTTCAAGGTTGAATTCATCCAGAAGAAGAAAAATGTATCATCCGAAAATGTTGAGATTATCGGGCTTCTTATTTTGTGATTCATCCAGTTATTGATTTCTTAATATCAAGCACAGATTAGAAGTGATGCACGTCAAACGGGAACAGTGTAGTGTTGTTATATAATAATAGAAGCAGTGTACTGTTATTATAGAATAATAGGAATAGTGTTCTTATGTGTGGATTCCAACGATGATAAAATAGAAAATATAATGTACCGTCGGTCGATGTAATTCCAGCTGTTATATAATAAAGTATTGTCATGATTCTATCAATTTGTAAACAATAAAAAATGTAATTCTGACGGGTGGGATTAATAATCTTACTATAATGAACGTAGTGTGTATGTCAGTATCTATGTATGCAACCAAAATACCCGCGCCATCTATTGAATGGCACCACAAACGAAAATCCTTGAAAAATTTCACACTTTTGGTATTCAAGATTCAGACAATGAGAAAAATAACTTTGATATGTGCAACAACGATTTCTTTATAATAGAACACAAATTTAAATAAAAGTACTCTACTCACAAGAAGAACACGACTTTTAGACTGTACGTGAGGGTTTGATTATATCTTGATTGATGTAATTTTTATATGTAGTACAGAGGAACTGGAGTTCTTAAAAAATATTAGTTTTCAATAAATGGTACCACTTTTAATATATATATAAACATTAGAGTTATATCAGTAAAATTTATGAAAAGGTTGAGCTCTGTACATTGAATGATTTTGATGCTGTTTGTTATTAAGCACAAAGCTACACAAAAGGCTATCTGTGCTCTGCCCACCACGGGTATGGAAACCCGGTTTCTAGCAGTATAAGTCCGCAGACATACCACTGTGCCACTAGGGGCTGATTTTAATGCAATGAGTTGCGTATGACTAAAGAGCACAATCCGAACATTTTTTTTTCACATGCAGGACTTCACAGAAAAAAATTCTTTCTCAGAAAATGTTCAATTTTTATAATTTTTTAAAAATGAGGTATGAATACTACAATTAGTAATTACTAGCACAAACAGCTGCCCATAGGGCGGCGTTTCTGATAATAATAATTATAAATAAATTTGTTTGTAGTTAAGCACATAGCTACTCAATGGGCCATCTGTGCTCTGCTCACCACGGGTATCGAAACCCGGTTTCTAGCGTTCTAAGTCCGCAGATATACCGCTGTACCCCTGGGTGGCTATCATAAACATACAGAGTTTACTCGCTGCGAACTTAATAATTTATCCTTCATTGAAAAAAATCAAACTAACTCTGTCCTATCAGCGTTTAAAAACTATACAGTGCATGAGCAAGATTTGTACATGTGATTTAACCGCTATACGTGTTTAATTCAATCAACAAACTCGTTTTTTTTTAAACACTAATATTAAGAATAATAAATAAAGAATCTCAAAATATTAGTAGACATTACAAAATATAGAGCACTTATTCCCACCTATCTTTTTTTTTCTTTGATAAATTAGATTATTATAATTCGTCCCTGGTTAATATTATTGTTCGGACGTAACCCAGTGATTACCTTAGCCGGACTGTGAAATCGAAGGTTCATGGTTCGCGTCCTGTTGTAGCATAAAACGAGCTTCCCATTTTGAGGCCCTTGGGTGTTTGTTCTATAAGAGTGATAGTCGAAATTATTTATTTGGTCAGACAAGAATAGCTTAACTGTTGGCGGTGGGTGCTTTTGACTAATGCTGTGTTCCTTTTAGTTTATCAGCTTAAGATTAAGGACTGCTATGCAAAGATAATCTTCGGGCTGCTTTGATCTAAACGTCTAAAACATTTGTAATATTATGTGATTTTTGTTTTACTATCTTATTTAGTAATTAACCTTTGCATTATGAAATATTCTGCTAAAGATATTTGCAATTAACTTATAACAAGATACTTCTGTATTTTCAGTATTGAAAGATTTGTATAAAAAAGAACATGTAACCCTATCGAATCAGAAATATTTAACTTTAGCTCATGGTAGTATCAGCTATTCATTTATCTTATCAAATACTAACATATTAAATGTACTTATTAAATGCTCTCCAATCAAAGCAAAGCGTTGATTTGGACAAATTTGTACTTTGAAATGTGAGAGTCGTAATGATAGAGTTTACAGCTTGGATTATTAGTTATGCATTTTAACTCATTGGGGGAATGTTGCATGATTGCATGATCTTAAAGGATTGGGCATAGCTTAGTAGTCATTGAATTGCGTATAGTAAGGTCCAAGGTTCGAGCTGCGATGCACTGCTGAACATTCTCTGTAATTTCGGCTCTAATGGTGTTATAATTGTGCCAGTCAATCCCAATATTCGGTTATGTCTAGCTTAATCGGGGCGAGTGCCCCATTTAGCAGTTTTAGATTAGGAATTGCTACGTCTCAACCGATAGGAGTGTTTGAGCTGATCATTTAGCCCAGATGTCATGAAATACCAAGATAACAAGGTATTTTGAAAAATTATTGACAATACTTGTCCTTTAAAACTTGGATACAGAATAGATTTCCCGTGTCATATACAGGAGTTCGCATTGTTTTAAAATGTGTTAGAATCAAAAGCAAGACTCAATGTAGATGTAACATATATTTGACAAAATACCGAAAAAAATGTATTATTATTTGAAATAACAAAACATCAAAAGATTATAAAGTACATTTGTCACAAACCAGATAGAAATATATGTAAAGTTGTACAATACAAACGTTCGCTTTGATGGAAAACTGAAGTTGGAAATACTGTCCAAAAATGCCGTAGAAAAATTCACAATGCCATGAAGAAAATGATTTTTGGATAGTAACTACGAGAAAGATTTTTAATCTGCAACTATCACGGACAAAATGAAACACGAGTTATTGATACATAAAATATGATACAGCCACCAAAGGTTAACATTTACAGAGAAGATAATCAGTAAAAATACGCGCCTGTGATCACACGCGACTTTTAAAACAGAATCTTAATTTTTTGTTTTCTCATATCAATAAATATATTTATATGTATATGCACAAAGCAAACAATGAACAATAATTTTCATATCGATAGTTTTAAATTCTTAACGCCAGGAGGAGCATCCAATCATAAACTACTGATCAAAAAGAATTTGTTGATATTCAATGAACAGTAACCTGAGTTTCTTTAGCTGCCTTTATTTTAAACATAAAAATTGTTATGTTTATCTTATTTTTCTTTTTTGTTCAGCTTTTGTTTCTCCAAATTATAGCATTTTTTATTCATTTTATTTTATTCAAGTAATTAATATATTCTGATTATAACCTGACTGAACAAAGTTTCATACGTCAGCAATATAGGCTATGTTACCAAAAGTAGTGGAACAGTAAACCCCCAACTGGTAATGAACCGCTCATAGTGAATTTGTGGGCGAATCCCATGATGCACTGGGACCAGCAGCTTCAACAACAACAACAAATACAAAACCGAACAAAACAAATGGATTCATGATGCCACGTTGAAATGAGATCACAGATCTTCACTGGTAGTATGAGTCTCCTTCGTACCAGATTGAATACGGTTAATGTGATATAGATGCAAAATAATTATGGACGTGTTAGTGTGAGATATTGGCTCGGTCACCCGAAATTTGTCATTCATCAGTCCACATTGTAAAATGAAACCGTCTGAGTAAGAATCTGTGAGAAGTGGATGTTCGAGGATTTGGCGTAATGGATGTATGCGTTATAAAGCAAGTATTAATAATTCAAGAGAGAGAGAGAGAGAGAAATACCAAAGATCGATGATTTTTTTAACACAATGATACTCGTAAAAAATCAATGAAACAGAAGTGAAGAACTCAATAAAACTGTCAAGGACGCGAAACAGTGAATGAGCCAACCAACAAAATAATGGACTATGACAACAACCTGACTTATCATTTTCGCTCGCTTGAATTTTAACAAATGAATAGTAACAAAAGTATAACGATTTCATAAATAAGTTAGCCGTGATGTTACTTTGAAATCTTTCATGGGACTGACCTTATAGCACTTATTGATATGTAGAGCAGCATCGCCTCTTCTAACTGAATTAATCATAGTTAGGAGAACTTGGATAGCGACAACTGTATCTGCCCACATGCCTTCTCGGTTGGTAACCCTACAATATTAGCTTTCGAATAATCAGGCTCTAACCGACAAGTGAGAAGTAAGAGACAGTCTAGGCTGGCTGCAACTAGAAAAGTAACACGTCTAAAGTCACACTTTCATGCCGACAATAACAGACTTTCCTTGTGAAACCAAAACCGTAGAAAGATATAATTGTATGATAAGCTTAAGAAAAAGTATATGTAAATATAGTTCTTAATGTAAAAATGCCACAACCACGTACTTGGCATTATATTCATCACTGAAGACGTTTGTGACTGCTCATGATTGCATGTCAAACATCTATTATCCACACTGAGCTCAAAACTACTGGACTTTACAAATGGGCTGCAGCCCATAAGCCACTCATCACAACCATGAATCCAAAGTATTGGCTATGAGCTTTGAACATGCAGTGAAGAAAAGAAACATCTACCACACCGAGTTTGAGGAGATCATGAAGAATGTTAGGCATAAAATAGCATTGTTCTAATTGTGAAGAGCAGTAAGAATAGAGCAGGGTACAGGGGGCAGGTTTTAACTGGTTACATTTGATCTATTAGAAATAAAGGAATCATAAAATTATTGTTATATTGAATCTAAGTGTAACCTCTCTGATTCTTTTGGAATACTGCCTCAGGGACAAGATCCCAGAATCTCATTTCATATAGAGCGGATTCACAAGAGAAATGGAAATCCGTTCCATCAAGTGTACCAATCATTATGAGCAAATCTAGGTAATGCTTGATTTCATAGGTTGGCCTCAGCAGCGTATTGTGGCATTCTCTTTTCTTGTAAATCTTGGACGGTGGAATCGTAGAAATTCGAAACGTTCGAAAATCAAATACGTTTGAAATATTATCATCAGCCATACACAATTTTCTATGTACTTACATCTCACATCATCTAGTATATTACTGAGTCCGAACTATCATCATCAGCCACACACACTCTTCTATGTATTTACATCTCACATCATCTAGTATATTAATGAGTTTGAACAATTATCATCAACCACATGATTTCTATGTACATACATTCCGTACCATCTAGTATCTGTATGAGTTTGAAATATTTTCATCAACCACATGATTTTCTATGTATATATATATTCCAAACCATCTAGTATTTGTATGAGTTTGAAATATTTTCATCAACCACATGATTTTCTATGTATATATATATTCCAAACCATCTAGTATTTGTATGAGTTTGAAATATTTTCATCAACCACATGATTTTCTATGTATATATATATATATTTCAAACCATCTAGAAGTTTATTGGATTTTTTAATAATGTTTTTCTCCCCATCCTAAACTGTTCCAAGACATAATCTAGCTACCTACTGTATTGACTATTTTTCTTTTAAGTTTAAAAAAAGGAACCGAAAAAATAAAGAAAAAGAAATAATAGTAGAGCAACATATACATAAAACGGCCTTTTACAGACCGGTCAACATGCGAATGATGAACAGTAATAAACTAATTACAGCTATTTCATTCATAGATAGTTTAGACAAACATTAAAGTTGTAATGCTTTTAGAGGAAAACTGCAACACATTTTACTGAGCTTTTATTGGTAAAACTGTAAAAAGAAAAAGTGTTGTACTTAAAGAACAAAATGTCATTATACCTGCGCTTTATCTGAGACTTGTATGTCAAGTGTTTTACGAACGAAAGCAGGAACTGGTGCCGAATTTATTAGGATCGTTTTAAAAAAGGAATGCAATATACTTGTCAAAACGGATGCCTAACTAACGAGAAACGCCAATAAACAATTTATGTTATTTACAATTCTAATCACAAGAGCAAAGTCACCGCTCCATGATGTCGATAATGCTAAGCCTGCTAACCTTGGTACTTTAAGCTTTCGCGTGCCTCACATGTCCACTTCTTGACTGATCAGCTGACGGCCCGTCGCCAATTAGAATTTCTAATGAGCGCTGTCTACCGTGAGCTAGAGGAACTAACCTATAATCAACAACTATCAGTACTAATCTAATTATAGACGAGTTTAACTTGCTGTCATTAAGGTCACCTATAGATTCTTAACTTGATTGTAAACTTCTTGGACATTGCATATCGTGATCAGAGGTTGAACAGTAGGCTATATTTTCCCCTTCCAAAAACTAATAGCTAAATGTTACCAAGCGTGAGTGAGTGATTAACCTGCTAAAACACCTAGTACTTGTTCATCAATAATGAGAGTAATCACTTGACCTCGTCATTCGCCGGCGAGATGAGTTTTTGGTCACCGTTCAAAATGCATGATCCGCCTACCAAGACAACGATAACTTTAGCTTTGCAGTTAAGAGGAATATTTATTAGAAACGGTTGTGTGGCCGCGGTGTGTAAGAGTTTCTTTAATCGGACTACGGAACCGCTATCGTTTACTTCTTCCAGACATTTGAGGAGTCTGGGTGGTCATATATTTTGCCAACATCAGAACAACTGTTTCGGTTTTAAGAGGGCGTGGCTGCAGTGATACAACTTGGTGGTTGTTTAAATACGAGAAAGTACGGAATGCTTTTTGCAAAGACGTAAAAAAAATGCAAAAACTTAAATTTACGTTACATTCTAATGTTTATGAACAAAGTATCGACAGCTTCTTCCAATTAATGCCAGACGAGTCATATATTGATATCACCTTTATGTATCTTTTCTATCAACATTGAAAAACATCATACGAATAATACACAGCCTTTTACGACATGGTGCTTCGTTTCTATTGTCAGTAGATAATCAAAATATGTATAGTTTTTTAAAGTATTATTTCATAACGATTTTTACAACTTTTTTACCAGGACAAATAATACCAAATCGTATTGTGTGTATTATCGTATACAGTAGATATTACTAACTGAAGTTAGAGCATCATTGTATACAGTAGATGTTACTAACTGAAGTTAGAGCACCATCGTATACAGTAGATATTATTAACTGAAGTTAGAACACCATCGTATACAGTAGATATTATTAACTGAAGTTAGAACACCATCGTATACAGTAGGTGTTATTAAGTGATATTAGAACACCATCGTATACAGTAGATATTATTAACTGAAGTTAGAACACCATCGTATACAGTAAGTGTTACTAACTGAAGTTAGAACACCAACGTATACAGTAAGTGTTACTAACTGAAGTTAGAACACCAACGTATACAGTAAGTGTTACTAACTGAAGTTAGAACACCATCGTATACAGTAGATGTTATTAAGTGAAGTTAGAACACCATCGTATACAGTAGATGTTATTAAGTGAAGTTAGAACACCATCGTATACAGTAAGTGTTACTAACTGAAGTTAGAGCATCATCGTATACAGTAGATGTTATTAACTGAAGTTAGAACACCATCGTATATGGAATATGTTACTAACTGAAGTTAGAGCATGTGGCTTGTGAGTCTTTGTCTCTTTCCTTTACACCATAAGACATATTGTTTTTGTTTTTTCGTAGCGTTCGAATGTCTGTGTGTAGAGTTAAATAAATTGATCATTAAAATTCAAGAACCATTTGGTCAAATAAAAATTAAGGTAAAAGACATTTAAAACTTCTTCGGTGACGTTTGGGAGGGATTATAAGAATTAAAGTAAAGTGGAACGTATACTTCAATCACATTATATCTGCCATACCCAATGCCGACGAAGCCTTTCGCCCAAAACCAGGCACCTCAATTCGACTGCGATTCGATAAAGACAATGGTTGTTGAGACATTATTTATATTATCAAGTTATGATTTCTATCATGTTTTTATGAATCACATACTAATCATAATTAGGTTAAAGATTAATAACACAATAAAAATTATTTATTTTAACAACAATTATTTATTATTACCATTTATTCTTTACTTGAATTAACTTTACTCACCATTCAGAAGAACTGACAGCACATTATATTTATTTAGACATAGCTTCCACTTCATAGCGAACTATGCCATCTTTTGAGATGGACTTCCCGCAACAAGAAGTGGTCATGAGGCCAAACTGGTATAAGCTTCCACGAGATAGCAGTTGTCATATGTAACTTTTACCTAAGCATGTTTACGACCTATCAACATACAGAATATATGTACAAAAATTTAGAAAAAACAAAAACAACAAATTATCAAGAATACAACTTACTATAAATATATTATATAATAGTTATGGAACTGTTAAATTATCAGTTATTTCGAGTGTGACACGAGTACAAAACCATAGGAATAGGAGACATAAAAGCAACTTCTAGAAATTTATCTTTAAAGCTGCTAAGCTTTTAAACAAAATAAATAGCAAGTAAAAACGTCCCAACAGTTATTGAAACCACGCTGTAAGTGTAAAAAGCTTTTCTGGGATTCACCATGACATCTGAGATTTCAACACAGGAATTCAATTAAATATGTGGTTAGCACACGTGAATATTCAACATCTGATAAGTCCACTTTGAAGATCATAGTTTATTTCAAATTCTATTTATATAATATAATACTATAAATCCTGTAATGTGTTCACTCAAATTTAATATGGAGATTTGTCACACGTGAAGGTTGGAGTTTCAATTTTAATCTGTTATAGAGTTTGAAGAAAATATGCACAGAAAAGAGTAAAACCATTAATCTTACTCAAAGTATGTCAAGAAACAGTTTGATAAATATTTTTTTTGGAATAAAAAATATATGTATCCATTAGTTACAATAAGTATTTTAACATCTTTAAAGAAATATATATACACGCACAGGTGGAAACTTGTATATGTTTTGGATGTGTGTAATATCTGTTGGTTTATTTTTAGTAAAGTTTGATAGCTAGTATCAGGCTTGTAGATAAGATTAGCCTATAAAGAGTATAGAAGAACTTAACTTTAAGGATTCAACTATAAAATTGGAAAAAATGTTTGAGTATTTTTTTAGAGAAATTAAGTAGAACTTTCTATAAATGGACGCAAAATCATCAAGATTTAATGGAGTGCATGACTAAAAGCTACGATCGACAACAACATATATTAAAGAGTTTTACTGAAAGAAACTTAGGTAGAAAACAGTTTATTGAAAAGAAAGTATGAACTTCAGATAAGACTAGACGAAAAAGAAAAACATCTTACAATATTTTGTATCATTTAAGCAAAAACATAAACAATTTTCCGAGAGAAAAAAAATCATTTTGGAAAAGCTTTCACAGCAGAAAAATTAAGTAAGTTACGGAAGAATGCAATTCAAGAGGATCTCTTACTAGTACCTTTCAAATCTCATGAAACAATTAATGAGGATCTCTTACTAATACCTTCTAAATCTCATGAAACAATTAATGAGGATCTCTCAGTAATACCTTCCAAATCTCATGAAACAATTAATGAGGATATTTCCAATGAAAAAAGATAAGTTAGAACAAGACTAGAATTGGAAAATTTGGAGATTGAAATTGAAATTCTGTAAGTTAGAGTGAAAAATCAAAAGATAAAATTCACTTGAAAATGTGGAATTTATTTAACAAAAAGATAAAGTGTAAGAAAGTTTTTGAAACATTGGTAGAATATTAGAATGATTTATGTAGAATATAGGTGAGAAGAAGTGAAAAAAATGGAATCAAAAGAAGTGTGGTATAAAGAACAATTAAAGAAAGATAAAAAAATCCAGAGAGATGGAGAAAAATTCAAAGGAAAGCTATTACAAATGGAGCGAAAAATTCAAAGGAAAGCTATTACAAATGGAGCGAAAAATTCAAAGGAAAGAAGAAAGTAATTGTTATAACAATTCACAAAAATGTAGAAGAAATAACCGATACACTAACAATACTAGGTAGAATCTAAGAGTTGCTGCTATAGATGATATATATGTTCAAAGTCACCACAAGATACAATGACATAAAAATATAAGATTAACACCGAGAAACTTTAATAGGATGGAAGATATGAGGCATGGAGGAAGAGAGAGAGTTTACGAAAGATCCATGATTTGGAAAAATGATCACAGAGTTACAAAATACTTTTAGGTAACCAGGCTCAATATTTTATGGAAATTAAAAAAAAAAGGTTTCTTTTCTTTTTGTATCCACAGGTGGAAATATGTTTTGGTTATATATGTACATAAATACATATATATATATGTGTGTGTGTGTGTGTGTGTGTGTGTGCGTAGTTTGTGAAATGTAGCTAATTTTTATGTTTATTATTTGGTGTAACTTATCTTTTAATTGCTTTCCACCAATCCGAGTAATTAACCAAAAAGATCTTTAATTATATTCGACATTTAATGTTTCTTTACCTAAAATGAAAAAAAAGTTTTAAGAAAATTGACGATTTCAAGTCCAAATTAACGTTACTAATATATATATATATATAAAGAGAGACGAACCTTTAATAATTTTAACGTCTTTCATAGCATGCTTGTAGTATATCACGAGATCACGAGCAATTAGAAAGCAGTCAACGCTTCCAAGTTAACAGTCCACAGATACCTCTACCCCTATTTTAGAAAGTTGTAACCACTTCTTTAAAAATTAACGTTACGAAATGTGGGTTCGTCCATTAAATAGCGATTCATGTGTGCTGATGGGTTACATTTACCTTTCTGATTTATGTGACCCTTCTTTAAAATAACCGTTTATCCAAGCTTTTGTGATAGTGATTATTGAAACATACAGGATTATCATGGCGTTTTGAACAGTACTTTACAATCTGAAGTTGGCACATATTTCTGTTGGTTCTATAATAAATTTTCAAAGATATGGAATAATCTAATTTTACATGACAGGGTAAAAATACTAAAAGTAGGATGACTTTATTTGTTTGTTTTTGGAGCAAAGCCACACTGAGCTATCTGCTGTGTCCACATCGGAGAATTCAACCCCGGATTTTAGTGTTATAAGTCAATAACTTATCGCTGTTACACCGGAGGACAGCAGGAAAATGTCACACCTTCAAGGACTATGTCTTAAACATTAAACGTGTACATAATATTTCAACAACTCAGTTTATTTCTTAGTCGTTTTGACGGATACCTGGATATTTGAGATATATCAGTAAGAGACAAATCTAAAATATTATCTGCCTTTCTTTAAAGATTTGAGAAATTCGATCTTCTTTCACTTTTTATCAAAATTTCACTATACTAGCTGAAAATACCCACGCTCTACTGCGGGGTTCAAAGGTCTCCTTGTGATTCAGAGAGGCTTCAATGTACCAATGAAATTCCTCTATTATATCCAATTGACTCAATATCTAATACTATAGCCGAAACAAACAACAACCCTGAGCAAATGTACCAAGTTTCGTTGCGCTAAATTATGAGTGGGGGTACGAACACAGTTTTAAACATGGCGCCCCAGGGATCTCAAAGGGAACCAGGAACACAAAGTCCAATATCACCTTCGAGTTTAACGGCCCTGCAAACCTACTCCTAGACTTCATTATGCCTGGGTATCCTTCAGGGGGAGTTTCAGACCCCCCTTGGTAAAAGGTTGCGCCATACAAATATGGACACCTCTGAACCATCCCGAGTACGCTTGCCAAGTTTGGTTCTGCTAGCTTCAAAACTGTGATAGGAGTTCGCGAAAAACTTAATAACAAATTCACAAGCACACAGCGTGAATTACTAAAGGATTTATCAAAAATGCTTGAAAAGTGTGACAAAAAAGTATCTTGACTCTAAAACAAATGGTAATACAGAGTTAATAAAACCATTTTTATGAAGTTTGCTGTTCGCTTAACACTGGTCTAATTTCATGCCGAAGGAAAGGTATTTTTTTGAAAAGCAAACCTATTTCATCAATAGCACGCACAGCTTGTACAACACATATAAGCACGGCATATACTTGAAACATTTGAGTATAGACTTTAATATGAATGATGAGACGATACGTTCAGACGTTTACTTTGAGTCCGGCCCGGCATGGCCAGGTGGTTAGGACGCTCGACTCGCAATCTACGGGTCGCAGGTTCGCATCCCCATCCCACCAAACATGCTCGCCCTTTCAGCCGTGGGGGCGTTATAATGTGACGGTCAATCCCACTATTCGTTGGTAAAAGAGTAGCCCAAGAGTTGGCGGTGGGTGGTGATGACTAGCTGCTTTCCCTCTGGTCTTACACTGCTAAATTAGGGACGGCTAGCGCAGATAGCCCTCGTGTAGCTTTGCGCGAAATTCAAAACAAACAAACAAACTTTGAGTCCAGTTTTAAGATAAGTGAAAAAATGTGAACTGGAATCATTAGTACAGACGCAATGGAGCAAAATAAGAAATTTACACAGACGAGACTGCAAAGAGCTGTGCACAAAAACTTAAGAACGCAATTGTGCAACTAAAAAGAAAATAAGTTGTATTATAAACTTTTGAAAATTATTACAGCTGAGGTTGATTAGGAATGATTGAGGGCGTCCGTAGAAAACAAGAAGATAATAAGGCAACTAAATACATGTAGTCGAGATTGGTACATATAGCACTATCTAGCACCCTTTTGCAAGATGAAATGATATATCATATCTGCCTTTGTCCCAGATGAAGACAAGTCCATCTCTCGAAAACGCTAAGGTTATATCTTTTAAAATTTGTAATGCATACTGGAGGAATTAACACATTTTGACAAAACGTTTAGAAAAAAAAAAGACCTTTATACTCCATATATATATAAAATACATAGAGTATAAAGGTCGTTTTCTAAGGTTATATCTGGTTGTTTGAAAGTGTTTAACCAACCTTTGCGATCCTACGTCTTTGCTGCCATAAATATATGAGTTTGATACTTTTTGTTCATATAATTTCTGATGCCAACAATTTCGTTTTTCTATTTCTGAGACCATTAAATGCAAATATAAAGACGTAAAAAAAACATAAGAAAAAAAATCGCTGACTATACATGATCTAGATTAAGCAATATTAATCAAATTATACTTCACAGTATAACATAAAAAGAA